TGAAGTTATCTCTAAGTTAAAAAATGTCCTTGTTTAAGGGGAGTCAGGAGAGTCTGTTTTGAGTTAGGTCCTCTTTTATGAATTAAGAGAAGTGGGTTCTTAAAATGTTAGGTGAGGACTGGATCTGGGGTCCAGATATGCCAATATTTCAGGATAGTGTTCTTAACAATGTGAGCCTGTTGAAATGCCCATGTGATCAAATATATGTTGGTAAAACAACCGCCCTCTTAATCAAAGAATTAGCTCCACAAGACCCAAAGATGTGAACTATCATTTAGCCTGTCACTTCAATAAGCACTCACATCCCATTTCCTCCCTTAGGTCGCAGGGCACAGAGCAGATTACTCCTCACAGAGGGGGTGGGGTTTTTGACTGAATTTTTATGACAAAAGCCAGAAACAGAGAATTGAGAAATAGACTTACTTTATGAAGAAAAGACTTCATAAAGTGTTTTTCCAAAGTTGAAGTTTGCTATTACTGGTAGAGCAGCGCGGTAATGGTGACTTGTTCACTTCCCCGGATTCATGCATAGACACATGCCTGTTTGTAGTCCATTATACCTGGCTATTTTACAACTACTGACTTCCTGTTTAAACATCTTCTTAAACATCAAATTCAATGATCCAATACAACATAGTTTGAGACATAGATCAAGGCTAATACCTGTTACAACACTGAGAATGAAAACACTGGGAGAGACCCAGACAGCGGTACGCAGCCTATTTACTGAAGTTAAGTAAAAGAAATATCAAATTAACTATCAATGCTACTATCAACACTCTCAATGATCCATGTCTTCTTGGAGTTATCTTTGATCAGGTACAACCATAGAAGCAAGACCTCTAGACATGCCTTCTTTCCATTTTGTTTCTTATTTTTGCGTAATATACATTAAAATCGACATATCCTGTCACAGACAGATGCAGAAAAAACTATCCATCGCATTTGTATATCTCTAGGCTAGGTGATTACTGCAACTCTTTATTATCTAGGTTGGCCTCTAATAGTGAGTCCGTAAGACGCTCCCACATAAATTCAATAACGCAGCTAGGCCACGATACTGACAGGGAGACTAGGAAAAAGAGATCACAAGTGCGCTCCTGTT